CAAATGTGGGGAAGGAAGTCTTTTACAGAGAAACACTTGTTCTGACTGTAGATTAGGCTTAGGACAAAGCAAGCAGAAAGAGGCAAGCTTTTCAAGAGCACATCAACTTTGAAACTTCATGAAGGGCAGACTTGCTGGCCCAAAGACTCTTTCATCCCTTAATATAACTGCCTCTGTGAACTCAAATATTTTAGCATCTTGACTAAGTTAATTTGAACTTTTTAAAGGAAAGAATTGGTATTCAAAGTGTCTAGTATGGTTTTGCAGTTACATTGAAGATGAAAACAATACCCAAAATTCTATTGCCACACTTCTCAACCCTTTTTTCTGGCAGAAAGCACAGGGCAAAGCTTGTCCCAAGACAGTTTCACTCCCAAGGGCAACTTGTCCTGGCACAGAGGTGACAGCTCTGCCCTTTTCCTCCCACTCAGAAAAACATCTCTATACCAAAGTGAGTGATGGTGCAGCTAATGACAAGGGCAGCCATAGTCTGGTTACATTTATTACCAAAAATAAATGCATTTCTCAAATGCAGTCAATGCTAACATACTATTTAATGGAGAATCATTACAGGCTTCCCATTAGTAAGGAATAAAATAGGAACTTCACTATGTCCACTACTGTGTGATGTTGTGTTTAAGTACTGGACAATGCAATAAGACAAGAAGAAAATGGTAAGACTTTTTCTACTGCATGTGGCATAATAATATATCTGAAAAACTCAAAGGAGTGAGTGGAAAAAATACTGCAAATGCTAGGAAAATTTAGTAAGATAATGGTTTATAAGTTTAACATAAAAATCAGTGGCCTATATATGTAACCAAAACCATGAAAAAGTGAAAAGACACCTTGGAAAAGAAGATCCCATTGATGACAGCACATACTGTAAACTGTATTCAGAAGTTGCCTGAGGCAAACTGTAATATCCCAGAAAAACAAAACCAGGAGATCTGAACAAAGTAAAATAGACAACCATATTCTTGGAGAGGAAGGCTGCATTAGAAAGAAGTAGAGTGGATGCTCCCTTAGTTAACCTGTTCTTTTAGCATAATTCCAATTTTAAAAACTCTCAAGTTTCAGTCAGGTGCCATTCAAGCTGATTATTAGGTTTGTAAGAAAGTTCAATAAGCAAGAATAGCCAGGAAAACTCTGAAAAAGAAGAACGTGAGAGGCTCCTGCCTTTACAAACATCAAATCAGATCTTGCAGTCTCTACAAGTAAAAAACATTTTTATATTGGTGCATGAAAAGCCAGATGAGCTAATGGAACAGCATAGAAAAATCCAGAAATATATTAAGTGCATATATAAAATTGGTATAGAAAAAATCAGTGCAAAGTGGTAGTCTTCTAAAACAGTAGCATTGACATGAATGCAGAGCCTTGTGGAAAAAAATAAAACTGGACCCATTCGTCACATAATATGCCAGGAAAAATTCCAAATGGGTTAGATGTGAATGAAAGAAAAGGTAACATATGAATGCTATTTTGTAAAAAAGGTCTGTGTTCACATGTCTGTAACATGGAGTGCAGAATATCTTCTGCAATAACTTAATATCCAGAAACAATAAGGGAAGATTGGTTTATTCCTTTTTGCATAGCAAAAAAATTTACTATGAATAAAATACATGACAAAACTGAACACAACTTTGCAATTTGTATCACCAAATTTCCAAAAATAAAAATGGAAAAGACCATCAAACCCACAGAAGAATGAGCTGATATAAATAGTTGAACAGAAAGAGAAATACAAATGGTTCTTATCCATGAAAAGATGCTCAGCCTCAATCATGATAGGAGAAATGCAATTAACACTACACTAAGATGCCATTTCACTTCTATCAGATTGGCAAAACACCCAAGTCTTATCATGTATTCTGTTGGCAAGGCTGCTAGTATCAGTCATTCTTATATATTATTATGGAATTGCAAAATGCTAAAGCCTTTGTGAGGAAGGGCTGAGGAGTGGCTCAAGTGGTAGAGCACCTGCCTAGCAAGCACGAGGCCCTGAGTTCAAACCTCAGTGCTGCCAAAATAAATAAAGCCTTTGAAAGAGGAAATATGAAAATATCTAACAAAACTATAAAAGTACTTACTCTCTGCTCAATCAATCCAAATTCTGGGAATCAAATATATGCTCACAGAAATATTAAAAGGCATGAGCACAAAGCTCTTCCTTGCATACTCTTTCTAAGCGAAAAACTGAAAACATCTTAAACGAAACTAACAGAGTACTAGTGGGTTAACTGTGTCACATCTATCTACCCGTTGCAAGACTATCTTTGAACTCCTGCTATCTGCAGGATGTGGCACCAGCCTGTTAGCAAAAACAACAGTAGCACGTCAGGTCAGATGTCTTGTTTGGGGCTGCCCTGTGCATTGCAGCATGCTTCACAACGCCCTTGGCCAATACCCAGTAGATGTCAGCAGCGTCCCTCCTTCTAGTTATGTGATGAAAAATATCTTCAGACATTTTTGGAGTGAGTTTTGCCAAATGTCCCCCGGGAGACAAAATCATTGCCAGCTGAGGACCAAGCAACTTACCTTAATTAAAATTGTAAGATTAATGTAATGTAAGTAGATGGCATGGTAGGGATAAGTGCATAGAGTATGATTGTACAAACAAAACAAATTAGCAAACCATGTTATTTATTAATAAAAATTTTCTGTAAGAAGAGGAACTAGGATGAAAGGGAAAGGTACAGCAGCCAAACTTCTTTGAGCATAACTTTTTTGTAAATTTGACTTCAATACCTTTACATATAACACTTAAAACTTAACCATTAAGAAAATAAGTCTAGAATTTGAAAGCAAATGATCTTAAATGTGTATCTAGTTGTCAGCATGTCTTCATGGGGAGTTATTTTAAGTGACTATAGTCATACTAATTCAACTTTACATTCCTAGTTGAATAAATCCTAAGAACAAAAACACTCTGAAAAGTAGTATTAAAATGTTTTATATGACCATAATTGTAACATAATTATAATAGCAATGCTGATATTATTCTGAGATTTTTGTGCATGTATTTCTGATAAAACAATGACTAATTATGATGATATCATTGAACGTGGAAGATGTCAACATGGGAGAAAGGAGAAGCAAATGTGAAAGTAGAGGCATAATAAAAACCTTGATGCTCTAATTGAAATCGGAAATATCAGTATGAACTCATGAAATCTTTGTTTCAAAAGGTCCTTTCCTAACTCTATCCAACGACTAAAACTGAAATGTGGTAGCTAGTCCAGTCACAGCAAGTGTTCTTAGTACCAGAATGTGATCTCCAAATAGCATTTCTAAAGAAACCAAGGCTTTTTGAAAGATGCTTAATTCAGGATTCCAGGAAAAAGTGGACAAGACAATCCTGAAAAAAAATTCCCAGTTGAAAACAAGGAAGCTATCAGGGTTTGAGATTTGTGTCAAAAAAATCTCAAGAGCTGACCTGAGGAGAATCCCACTAACAAGGAAGGAATGTCTGTGCATCAATAAAATAATACAGAAGCAATCAGTGTGATTAAATTCATGAGATCACAATAATGCTTGAAAAATACCTCAGTGGTCACTTTCAGTGGGGCTAGAGAACCAATAATTTATTTTAAAATGATAAAAGGAAAGAATTAAGTAATTATATTGTTTTTCCTATATAAATTATACTTCCAAATAAGCAAATAGTTGAAAAATTTCTTTTTCAGAACTATTCCAGCTTATAAATGGATAAGAAATTATAGTTAGAATATTACCATTTTGAAAAATTGAACAAATTAGTGACGTCTGTTTAATGACCATCCATTGCTGTCAGCTCCACAGAATAAGAGAGAGAAGCAGATATACATCTCCAGAAGGCAGTACCCCGAATCACTCAGGAGGAAGAGGGAAGGGGGATGAGCAAAAGCTTGATCAAACTAATAATTTGTAGCAAATCCAGGGGACAAAGGATCATGTAGAACAAAACCACAAGCATGCTATGTGTAAAATTCAGATGGAGACTGAAGAGAAAATGGCTCAGTTTCTTCTGCTGCTAATAGCAACATAAAAATTGCAAGGAATGTGAAAGAGACAGAGAGAGAACCTATAAACTAAAATATAACTCAACCAAACACAGTGTTTAGACCTTATTTTAATTTCTTGATTAAAATAAACTAAATAAAATAAAATATATATATATGTGAGCACAATGTGCTTACAGTTACATAAATGGAAATATCAACTGAATATCTGATAATATTAAGAGATTACTGTGTTCACCATTTAGGTGCAGTAATGATAACTGTGTTGCACATGTGTGTTGTGTTTGTCCCAAGAGTCCCTCTCTTTTAGAGATTCACACTGAGATTACATATAACTGGGATTGGCTTCAAAATAACATGAGGCAGCAGGTGGGAATGATGGGATGGAAGCAGATTAGCCATGAATGGATCGTTGTCAAAGCTGAGTGATGAATACACAGCATCCATTAAACCATGACTTTTATACCTGCTTTGAAAATTTCATAAAAAATGCTTTATGAGAGAAAATAATTTAGAAAGTTTGCATTTTAGCTATTGTTAGCACCAAGTTCTTGGCTAGAGATGGTTCTATTTATTCTTCCCTCTCTTTGTTACCTTCTCCATTCTGTCACTACCGCCACGGAAGTCCGCCATGAGAAAAGGCATGAACTTAAGGCAGAACTTAAGAGAACAGGAACTTACCAAATGAAAGTCATCTTGGGGTCATTTACATTGTGACTCAAATAATTCCTTGCAATTATCACCGTCAGGTGGCTGTCTGAGCTGTTCAATTAATAGAGAGAATATTGATCAGCTCATAGTTCATGTTCCTGCTAATGTGAATTGCTGGTTTATTGTCACTCTCTAATTAGGGAGGGTTTTTGTAAGAGGGCTTCCCACATGTTGAGGTAGCTGCTAGGGTCCAAGGACATAGGGGGAGAAAAAGAGGGAGGTACTCTTTTATTAGCAGTGAGTGGATTCGAGTTTGTCATCACTCTTGTCTTCTTATAACTGTAGGTATTTATCACAGTGCTGGATAATAACGATAACGGTCCAGAGTTCTCTCAGCCCAATTACGATGTGACAATTTCCGAGGATGTGCTTCCTGATACAGAGATTCTGCAGATTGAAGCAACAGACCGAGACGAGAAGCACAAGCTGAGCTACACTGTGCACAGCAGCATCGACTCCATCAGCACGAGGAAATTCCGGATTGACCCCAGCACGGGCGTGCTCTACACTGCAGAGAGACTGGACCATGAGGCCCAGGACAAGCACATTCTCAACATAATGGTAGGACCAAACTGCTGGTTCACTCTCCCAGCAGGGCATTAACCAGTCAAAGCACACACCTCGGTACCGAGTTTTGTAAGCCATAGTAAACTTGGTCTATTCACTTCCAGGTTGCAATCAGGCTTGCCTTTCTATTTGCTGTCATTAGACACCAACACCATATTTTTCACCCAACTGAAATATTAGACATAGCAGACTCTGGCTGTTCAGTAAATGCTGCTGACAGACTGGCTTCAGAGCGAAGGAATAGGCCATGTTCCCAGACTCTGGAGTTGGTTTGCATCCAGATTATGTGGCAAATTCTAAAAGAAGTTCCTTGAGAAATTAATCACAAGGGTAATCATTTACTCAACCTGTGCAATACACAGGCCTAAAAAACTTTCGAGACATGCTTTAGTACTTTCTGTACTGGTGTTGGCCTAGTAGCAGATACTGGCACACAAAAGAGATCTCAACACACACCGAGGCCTTTGAAGAAGGTGAAGTCTGAAACTGTGCTTTTTTATGTTCCTGCAGATTATGTAGAAAAAGTTGTTTTCCTTGTAGAGTAAGCTTTGGCTGGTTCACATCACTAAGAAGGGATTCATAAGAATAAATCTTGTTTAATTTATGGCCTATAATCGAAGAACCCCTCAGGCGAGGAGCAGCCTCTGACTACCAGAGCCACCTTGCGTTCCTGGAAACCAGCCAGGATGACAAGGACTTAACCTTGTACACTGACTGACTTTAAAATACCCTAAGACTGTGAATTCCCAAGCAGCTGAAAGTAATGTTCCACTAGGTGCTAACTTCCCTTTCTGAGACTGGAAAACTTCCTGACAGGAGGAAATTTGAGTGCCCCTGCTCTTGACTCTGGTTTCCAGGGAAGAAAAGGGACCACTCACAGAGGTCATCTGGCCCTTCATTCATTTAGTCAGTGTTTCTTGAGCACATACTGTGCAGCAAACACTGAAGATACAAAGGAGACAAAGTCCCTGCCAACATTCAACTGGAGCTTACCTAGATTTCACGAATCCCAAAACATAGTTCAACTTGGTCCTTGCATGTGGCAGGCTAGACTATAGAAATTCAGCACACTCACCAGCTTGATTTTGCATGTTTTCTTCAAAAGCCAGTGACTAACTCCATTCTCCTGGTTCTTCAAGTCATCTCTGTCTGTTCTTTCCTTCACAAACTCAAAATTCAGTTTGGTCAACCTCTACCATTTTTCATATGTGTAACTGAATATTTAGAGCAAACAATTTTATGCTACCTTTCTGAAATCTAAGCCATTTTGGTTATTTCACTCATTCCTTCTAGGCACTATTTGTGAAAACCCCTTTCTATTTGATGGCCCTATTTGGTACATTTTCTAATTCCTTCCTGAAGTTACACAGTCTGAACCTGAACAAGCTAAGAGAACACTTTTGATTAGTGCTGCATCAAATTATAGCAGAACCACATGGTTAAAGATTTCATTGTTTATAAGCTTCTGCCTTATGCAAACCAGGGGAAATTTAGTAGTTGTCAGGTAAATTTCATTGGTAGAGTCACATTGGGGTCTCAATTTTAGAAATTAAAATTGGATAAATCTCACCAGTGGTCAAGTTTCTCCCCCAGTTCTGGGCCTTTGTCGATATTGGGTCTTGTTACCTAAAAGTGCTTCCATCACCACCACTGTCCTCCTCCTGCTTGGTCATGTTACTTCTTCAAGGAAGTTGAATGCTAGGTCAGGTTCTTCTTGCTACTCCTCTTCAGGGCATTTTTGGCGTATCCCATGCTGTGCTTTCAACCAGGTGTTACACTTATCCGTTTACTTGTTTTATTTCCTACTTAACTCTAGGCTTCTTCAGGGTACAGCATATATCTAATTCACTACTGAACCACCAGAGTCAAGCCAGGGACCTGACAGAAAAAAAATGACAATAAATGTTTGTTGAGTGAATGAATGGCAATACCAACGTCACATTCAATAATTCAACTCTTTAGTCTTTCCTCTAGAAGAGCCTCATCCAGCATTCATGAGCAGCTGTGTACACACCTAGCAAGCGGGAAGTGGCTGTGTGAGGGACCTAAGCAAAGTGCTGTGATATCCACGCATCAGAATGAGCACAGGCCATAGGTCAGCCATCCACTTGAGCAATAAAAAATCTTCCTTTGCTCACATTCAGTTTCTCTCTAGGTAATATCACCATTTATTGAGCACCAACTAGGTGACTGGGACTCAGGCAAGCACTCTGCGTGCACTATCTCATTTTCTTTTCACTATAGACATAGCAGTGAGTACATTGCCATTTAAGATTTTAGTCCTACTGCTTCTTGTATTTTGCCTAAAGGTCAGAGATCAGGAGTTTCCTTATCGAAGAAACTTGGCCCGGGTGATTGTGAACGTGGAAGATGCTAATGACCACAGTCCTTACTTCACCAACCCGCTGTATGAAGCGTCTGTGTTTGAATCTGCTGCTCTGGGATCAGCCATTCTGCAAGTGACAGCTCTGGACAAAGACAAAGGGGACAATGCAGAACTCATATACACCATAGAATCAGGTGAGAACTACAGACCAGCACAAAGTTGGTGTGACGCATGGCATTTGACCCCCTATAGTCTTTTCACCATGTAAAATTCAGATTGTTACCACTGGAAAGTTCCAAATGAATTTTTTGGCCAAGAAACCAATTTATTTGTGTGATGACAGTGCGTAAAGTTCCTGGCATTTCAGAACTGACAGTGAGAAGTTTCCTCTGTTGCTTTTAAATTGAATTTTTCTGGAAGAGAGAAGCAAGAAGAAATTCAGTGGCCTTCACCCATTGGCCAGTAAACCAGTCTCAAACTAAAATAACCAAAAACCTCCCATCACCTGAGGGCTGCTGGTTTGTTTGAATCTTACATGTCTTTGCTCACTTGTCAGTAGGTGGGCTGTGAACCTCAGAAATCCCTTACCCCCACTAGGAGCACAAATCCCGCCTTGGAGGTAATCAGAATAGCAGAGTGCATAGTGCATACGGGGTCTGAACTGCCTGCTTCACCAGACAGATAAACAAGTACAGCCTCTTATTTTGTAAAATTTGAGATTTTTTTAAAAACTGACTTTAGTATCCATAAGACAAGACCATAGCTTACTGATGGTATGGAAATTGCTAGCTAGAAAACATTTATGACAGAGAGACGAATGTCAAGCAAAGATAGGACCTAAAAATGACAAATATCCTTTGTCTGCTATACTTTCCTTCCTGTGTTCTGTCTTTTTGAATATTCAAGCCACATATTTCTGCAACATTATGTCCGTCGTACATAATGCCAAAGCAATCTCTTTTCATGCTAGGAATGGAAAGACTTCTTTCCCTTCATTTAAATGTAGAGCATTTTGTGAGTAGTTGAATTAAAATAGGGATGCTAAAATGACTCTTTTGGAGTAGAAAATTTAGAAAAAAGAAAAGCCAATAACCTTCTTTTTAAAAAATCCCTGCATTGAATAATAATCTAAAACTGTTTTCTCTGTTAGGCACCAGTATTTTATGTGAGCCTGTGCTAAATCTGTACCAAAGAAAAGAAAAAGAGAAGACAGGAAGCTGGTCCTTAATGACTAGCCTAAAGAGACTTCCCCATTTCTTTTCTAGGTTTCTGTTGGATGTTAGTTCAACCAAAAGCCTGACTAGTACTTAGAAATCTATCTTACATTTCTTGTTTATCATACATTTTTTTTTAGGATTTTTTTTGATGGTACTGGAGTTTGAACTCAGGGCCTCACACTTGCTAGGCAGGCACTCTACCTCTTGAGCCACTCCACAGCCCTTCCATTTTTATTACTTCGTTATGTAATCTTTGTTCTTCTGGTTCTACAAATAATAAGGGAAATTTAAAAAACAAATATTTAAGTAATATCACATAATGTATCACCCAATCCAACAATCTTTTTGTTATTTCTTTGGTTCTGTTATTCTTGTCTCTTCTTTTTTCCCTATATCCATTCATTCCAATCATTTGGATATAAGGCTTTATTTCTTCTTTTCTCATCATTTTATAGACATCTATCTATATGTCTTCCTGCTTTTTATATACGTCATGAGACTAGTACTCTATCTCTCTTAAAGGGCCAGGTAATTGGTGAGCCAATTTGGAATGTTCTCGAGGAATAAGTTAACTTATCACCCAGCTGAAAAGCCTGCTTCACTTAGATTTTCTCAGTCATTTCTTTAACAAGTGACTAAAACAAAAGACCAAAGCTGTTTCCTTAAAACATCCTTTATACAGAAAACCTGAATTTCTAGAAAATCATAGGAATAATTGATATCTCAAAAAATGATCTTGGATTATGTGTGTAAGAAGCTAATGAGAATTGCAATGTAGACAACAAGCCTCTCACAATACACAGACCTACCCTGAGCCTGGACTGGCCCTAGCCAAGCAAGTTCCTTCCCAGAGGATGGAAAGAGAGAGACAGATTCCAGGGGCCTCAACATCTTGAAGCAAGTGATAAGTGGTGTATAAAAGTTATGTTTTATTTAACTTGTCTCACAAACCTGAGATAAGACAGATTTTACTCTTTTCACTGTTGGGTTATAAATTTCCTGTCTTGCCCGGCCCCTGAAGTGACCATTGAAGCTTTTTGTTTTGGCAGGACTGGTGTGCAGAGCTGCATGTCGTGTATTACGCTCAGGGTTTGTGATTGGTGCCAATGCTGGTTCTGAGGCAGAGCAATAGAGGAGACACCAGGCTAAGAGGTGACATAGGATGGGGACATATTGGATCCTAAGATGCAATCAGAGAATTAAAAATATTTTTTAGATCTACTTCTCTCAGTCAGTCCACAAATAATTACTGAGCACTTTCTTTGTGGCAGGCACTAGGCTATATACCAGATAAATAATAAGTAAGAAAATGCTTTTGCTCCTTTGTCAAAAGTCTACAAGAAGCCATAGATCCCAAGATAATAGGCAAAGGTTCATTTCCAAAGACGTAAGGAGAGGATAAGCAGGAAGTGGATTCCAAGAAAACGGGTCAGTGTACTGAAGAGGGAAGGAAGACGACACACTTGGGACCTGACGTATGAGCACAACAGCCTGGAAGGGTGCAGCAAGCAGCCATTGGGCAACGGGATTATGAAGTCCTAGTGGAGGTCAAAAAGCTGTCTTCCCTTTATTCCTGGTGTAATATATCTTGTTAGGGATGAAGAAATATTGCTGGGTCTGGAGTGAGAGAGAGGACTTTTCTAGAAACTCTGAGGTAGAGCACTGCAATCAATAAACACAGGGAGACTTGGGACTGTTTACATTCATCAATCAGGGTTGATGACAGCACTCCACCAGAAGATGGACATTGCTTAAGTGACATGATGGCAGGCTCAAACACTGGGCTCATGCTCAAGTTCATGGTGCTATTCATTGAAAATGTGGAAGTTTACCTATGAGATCATTGAACTGTTTGTTGTGGTCCTCACGAAATGGTCATGTTTAGGTAGCAAGGTTTTAAAAAGTCATGCTAGCGTTCAAGATAACATTATTTAATATTCACATTTTGGGGCTGGAATCAAATAGACATCTTTATTAGATGTGTTTCCTCCTTAAAAATAAGTACCTTATTGAAATAGATTTTATGTGAATATGACCTTTTTCTATTCAGACACGGGACAGTTTATTCAGTAAGTATATAGCAGAAGCATGTACACAGCGGTATTTGCTGTCTCTTTCAATGAGCGTGTTACAGAATTGCCTCTGGATCCTGGAGCCTATCTTAATGATTTCTGACATTTAAATGGTCTACAGCTATGCTGTAATACAGTACTCAAAAATAAAGAAAAATCCAGATATAGTTCAATGACCAAGATCTCTAACTTTTGATTTAAAAGACTCTAAACACAAATGCGTTGTGTATTACTTGAGATATGTCAGAAAGCCCAAGGAGGTAAGCATAAAGCAACTTGGTAAAGGATGCAGCCTTACACTGTCTGCTATTTTGGAGCTCTGTGTCAAACCTATCTTTATTACATTCTTCAAGTTCTGTGTCTCCCATTCTTTACCCCTCTTCTATTCCACTTATCCTCAACAACCCCAGATTGCAAAATACTGCATATTTTAGAGGTAGAGCTCCAAATCTTGATGTTGCCATGACCCACTGATGTTCCTATACTAGACATGTTAAGGGTCCCCATGTTTGGTTTTATAAGGGCTATGCCTGAATTTCTTGGTTTTAAGGCTAGTTCAGATTATCAACAGTTTTCTAATTCACCACACCTCTACATGCTTAGTGAGTAGAAGGGCTACAGATTGCAGCAGCTACTTTATAAATTTTCTGTCAACTTTCACGGCTGTCTGCATGTGTGGGCATTCAGGCGCATGAGAGAGGGGTACAGCAGGAGGGACGAATAGGAGCCCAATGAGAAAAAATCCTCACAAATTGCAAATCAAAGAGAAACTTGGGAAGAATTCTCTATGCCTGATAAAACCCACCTCACCAAAGTAGTGTTTTGGAGGAAGTTGATTTTGATAGGTGAAATAGTACCAATGCAGATAATCTGAAACCAAAAGACTATGTGATAATGTCCCCAAACTATTCCTACAATGCTCTCTTTGATGTAGAACAGAGAATGTGCCACTGTTTTTTGATAGAGAATACTAGTGGCATTGGCACATCCAGTTCAGTCTTTCTCTCTTCTCACAAGGATGGGAATGAGGAAATCCTACACATTAGTAACAGAAATCTCTCTCACACAAGTTCTTGTTTCCCAGTCAAGTGCACATAGTGCTATGCTGCTTTTGCTGTTTTTAACCTGCATTGTGAACCCACTGATAGAAAATTAATAATTTTACTGGAAGCCTCATTTCAGTTGCTTTTCAATATTCTCAAAAGAAAAGTCTCTCATTTTTTTTTTACAATAATAAGGAATGAAAACAAACAATTGCTTTCTACTGGCCACATTACAATAAAGTACCTTTAGCAAAAGAGATTTTAATAACCCACTTATAATTCATTTCCCCCATTGATTTCTGTGTTTAGGGAACACTGGGAACACATTTAAGATTGAACCAGTCCTGGGCATCATCACTGTCTCCAAAGAGCCAGATATGACAATGATGGGTCAGTTTGTCCTGTCAGTCAAAGTCACAGATCAAGGCTCTCCACCGATGTCTGCCACTGCAATTGTGCGTATTTCTGTCACCATGTCTGATAATTCTCACCCTAAGTTCACTCACAAAGACTACCAAGCTGAAGTAAGTGAAAACATTGATATCGGAACATCGATCATTCTCATCTCTGCCATCAGTCAATCTACCCTTATTTATGAAGTCAAAGATGGAAACACTGATGGGATCTTTACCATAAATCCATATTCTGGAGTTGTCACCAATCGAAGGGCTCTGGATTATGAACGTACTTCCTCTTACCAACTCATTATTCAGGCCACTAACATGGCAGGAATGGCCTCCAATGCCACAGTCAACATTCAGATTGTTGATGAAAATGACAACGCTCCAATTTTTCTCTTCTCTCAATACTCAGGCAGCCTGAGCGAGGCTGCTCCAGTGAACAGCATTGTCAGGAACTTGGATAACAGCCCACTGGTGATTCGAGCCACTGATGCTGACAGCAACCAGAATGCCCTGCTTGTGTATCAGATTGTGGAGTCTACAGCCAAGAAGTTCTTCACAGTGGACTCCAGTACAGGTGCAATCAGAACAATTGCCAACCTGGACCATGAGACCATTGCTCATTTCCATTTTCATGTGCATGTGAGAGACAGTGGCAGCCCCCAGCTGACAGCAGAGAGTCCTGTCGAAGTCAATATTGAGGTGACAGATGTGAATGATAACCCACCTGTGTTCACTCAGGCTGTGTTTGAGACTGTCTTACTTCTCCCTACCTTTGTTGGAGTGGAGGTTCTGAAAGTTAGTGCCACAGATCCTGACTCTGAGGTGCCCCCTGAACTGACATACAGCCTCATGGAAGGTAGCTTGGATCATTTTTTAATTGATTCAAATAGTGGAGTAGTCACCATAAAAAACAATAACCTCTCCAAAGATCACTACATGCTGATAGTTAAAGTGTCTGATGGAAAGTTCTACAGTACGTCTGTGGTCACCATTATGGTTAAGGAAGCCATGGACAGTGGCCTCCACTTTACACAAAGCGTTTATTCCACCTCGATCTCAGAGAATAACACTAACATAACCAAAGTTGCTATTGTCAATGCAGTGGGAAACCGCCTTAATGAGCCCTTAAAATATAGCATCTTAAACCCAGGAAATAAATTCAAGATAAAATCTACCTCAGGAGTCATTCAGACTACTGGAGTCCCCTTTGACCGCGAAGAACAAGAACTGTATGAGTTGGTGGTGGAAGCCAGCCGTGAGCTAGACCATCTGCGTGTGGCGAGGGTGGTAGTCAAGGTTAACATTGAAGATATAAATGACAACTCTCCAGTCTTTGTGGGCCTCCCTTACTATGCTGCTGTGCAGGTTGATGCTGAGCCTGGAACTATGATATACCAGGTGACAGCCATTGACAAAGATAAAGGCACAAATGGAGAAGTGACCTATTTCCTACAGGATGACTATGGTCACTTTGAAATTAACCCTAATTCAGGGAATGTTATTTTAAAGGAAGCTTTCAACTCTGATTTGTCCAACATTGAGTACGGAGTTACCATCCTAGCCAAAGATGGTGGAAACCCTTCTTTGTCCACATCTGTGGAACTTCCCATCACTATTGTCAACAAAGCAATGCCTGTGTTTGATAAGCCCTTTTATACAGCAGCCATCAATGAAGACATCAGAATGGACACCCCCATTCTAAGCATCAATGCCACCAGTCCAGAAGGTCAAGGCATCATATATATCATTATTGATGGGGATCCTTTTAAACAATTTAACATTGACTTTGACACTGGGATCCTGAAAGTTGTTAGTACTTTGGATTATGAAGTTACATCTGTTTACAAGTTGACAATAAGAGCCAGTGATGCCCTTACTGGTGCCAGGGCTGAAGTCACTGTGGACCTGCTGGTTAATGATGTAAATGACAACCCTCCTATTTTCAACCAGCCCACATACAATACAACATTATCAGAAGCATCTCTCATTGGGACACCTGTTTTGCAAGTTGTCTCTACTGATGCAGACTCAGAAAACAATAAAATGGTACATTATCAGATTGTTCAGGATACCTACAACAGCACAGATTATTTCCACATAGATAGCTCAAGTGGCTTAATCCTGACAGCAAGGATGCTGGACCATGAGTTGGTGCAACACTGCACTTTGAAAGTCAGAGCAACAGATAACGGCTTTCCGTCACTCAGCAGTGAGGTTCTGGTTCATATCTACATCTCCGATGTAAATGACAATCCTCCAGTTTTTAATCAACTCATTTATGAGTCATATGTGAGTGAATTAGCCCCCCGGGGCCATTTTGTAACCTGTGTACAAGCCTCAGATGCAGACAGCTCTGACTTTGACCGGTTGGAATATAGCATTTTATCTGGGAATGATCGGACAAACTTTCTGATGGACAGCAAGAGTGGAGTCATCACACTGTCCAACCACCGAAAGCAGAGGATGGAGCCTCTGTATAGTCTCAATGTGTCTGTTTCTGATGGGTTGTTCACCAGCACTGCCCAGGTGCATATCAGAGTACTTGGGGCTAACTTGTACAGTCCTGCCTTTTCACAAAGCACATACGTAGCTGAGGTGAGAGAGAATGCAGCTGCTGGGACAAAGGTAATTCACATTCGAGCTACAGATGGGGACCCAGGGACATATGGGCAGATCAGCTATGCCATCATAAATGACTTTGCCAAAGACCGATTTCTTATAGACAGCAATGGACAGGTCATGACAACAGAAAGGCTAGACCGGGAAAACCCTCTGGAAGGAGATGTTAGTATTTTTTTGAGGGCTCTCGATGGCGGAGGGAGAACAACTTTTTGCACTGTGAGAGTGATTGTTGTAGATGAAAATGACAATGCTCCCCAGTTCATGACTGTGGAATATAGAGCCAGTGTCCGGGCAGATGTTGGGAGAGGCCACTTAGTCACTCAAGTTCAAGCCATAGATCCAGATGATGGAGCAAATTCAAGGATTACTTACTCCCTCTATAGTGAGGCCTCAGTCTCAGTGGCTGACCTGCTAGAAATTGATCCTGACAATGGCTGGATGGTTACAAAGGGCAATTTTAACCAGCTGAAAAATACAGTGCTGTCATTCTTTGTCAAAGCAGTAGATGGGGGTATTCCAGTAAAGCACTCCCTCATTCCTGTCTATATCCACGTACTGCCCCCTGAAACATTCTTGCCTTCATTCACCCAGCCTCAGTATTCCTTTACCATCGCAGAAGATACAGCCATTGGAAGCACAGTGGACACTCTGAGGATTTTGCCCAGTCAGAATGTCCGATTCAGCACAGTTAATGGAGAACGGATCGAAAATAACAAAGGGGATGTCTTCATCATAGAACAGGAAACAGGTACTATCAAGCTTGATAAACGTCTTGACCATGAAGTTAGCCCAGCTTTTCACTTTAAAGTAGCAGCTACTATACCTCTGGACAAAGTGGACATTGTTTTTACTGTGGATATAGATATCAAGGTATTGGATTTGAATGACAACAAGCCAGTCTTTGAAACATCAAGCTATGACACCATCATAATGGAAGGGATGCCTGTCGGCACCAAGCTCACACAGGTGAGAGCCATTGATATGGATTGGGGAGCCAATGGGCAAGTCACTTACTCCCTCCATTCAGATTCCCATCCTGAAAAGGTAATGGAAGCATTCAATATTGACAGCAACACAGGTTGGATCAGTACCTTGAAGGACCTGGATCATGAGACAGATCCTGCATTCTCCTTCTCCGTGGTGGCCTCTGACCTTGGAGAGGCATTCTCTCTTTCTTCCTCGGCTCTGGTGTCTGTCAGGGTAACAGATATAAATGACAACGCACCAGTCTTTGTCAGCGAGGTGTACCGAGGGAACGTGAAGGAAAGCGACCCACCTGGTGAGGTAGTAGCCGTCCTCAGCACCTGGGACAGAGACACATCTGACATTAATCGCCAAGTGAGCTACCATATTACAGGTGAGTCTCATCACCCACAGTTTTCACCACGTGCTCTGTGTACTGAAGAACGATGGGAGTTGGCAGGAGGTTAAGAGTAGGCAAGAACGAAGATGAGATGAGCAACCAAGAGTAATAAAAACCTTCTGGGGCTAGATAAGATGACTAAATGGACTTGGTTTTCATTGATGATTCTTATAAACTCAGCCTTAGTCTAAAGTTCATTTGTGTGCCTACAGCACATTACCCAGGTTGGCTTATAATGCACGTGTTACCTCTTACCATTTTTTAAAAAGTTCAGTCAAATATTTTAGTTGAAGGGATGTGTTTTAAACTGTATTCCATTTCTCTACTTTTATGGTGCTAAGGAAAACAAACAGCTTGATCCCAGTAAACTTCATACACAGGTTTGTCCTGGTCATAAAAATACATAGACACATACATATACAAGTTAGAAGTTACAATTGGACCTTTTGCTGAGAATTATAACTCCAAATCAAGGGTTATTTCTTCCGACAAGACCATTTTCTTGGATCCTTTTTCTGTGTTTTCAAATCTTAAGTAGCTCTGCAGTGGGAAAGCCAAGATAATCAAATGAGGTCACCAAGAGTGCACAAAAATGTCCCCGTTGCTCTGCAGGGCTGAGGATTTCACATCAGATTGAATAGAGTTCTCACTGATTAGGAGAAGCTTTCTGGGAGTGACTGGCCTTCAGCATGGAAGAGGAAGGGGTTGGTAGTATGGTGACAGCCTTCCTAAAACAATTTGGGGTTTTAAAGCTAATATTTTCAAGCTCACACATTCAAAGCCAGAATATAAGCAAAATGCCAAAGGATTTTAAAGAATCCATCAGTGCTTGTAGTCAGGTGGCTTTCCCTTTAGAAAAACACATTATTCAGAGTGAAAAATGAATTAATTAGAATGCCCTTAGGACACAGAATCTGCTTAAGTATGTTAGTGGAAAAGTTAATTAATCACTGCAGAATAAGATCCACAGCAGAGCAAACATGTCAGTGCTTGGGTTGCCACACTTTTCGGGATTATCCTCCTTTCTCTTTTATGAAACTGTTTTCTTGATGGTGACTCCCATTCAAGAACACTTCACGAATGCTGTGTTTTATCTGATAGATACCTCAGTCTCTTTTCACTAAAATGTATCATTCTTCAGTTAAGACATGAAAGATAGTGGAGAGAAAAGAAAGACAAGAATGAAGCAACACTCTGATTTATTTGCATTTACTTTCAGGAAGAAAAAGGCTTCTTAGGCATTTTGAGGGATACTTTTCTATTTGGAAAGGTTGTTGAATGCTTGGCTTTAATTATTTTTACTTAGTCTCTGAATTCTCAAGCGATGATTTAAAGAGACCATCCCATCAACTTGACCAAAGTAATGAGTACAGAGAAGCTTAAAGCTACTGTTAGTATAGACGTGCCAACCACCATCGGATTTTAATTAGATTTAACTTTTGCTCTTGATGGAGCACAACTTGGCTGTGCTGTCTCAGATTAACGAAGGACCATTAATCATTTTATGTAACAAAAGAACGAAGTGGGGCTGCTTGCACTGAAAGCATTTAATGGAGAAGTTAAATTTGTGTGTGCTGAAATAATATTCAACTAAAGCATAGTTGAATCCAAGCCAGTGACGGTGGAAAGTGATATCCCAGGGAGGACCCTGGGCCTCCCTAGAACAAGGTTCCTCAGCCAACCACAATTGATATGCGGGACTGAATGGCTCTTTTGTGGGGGAGGGCTCTCCTGTAGACTGTAGGACATTGAGCATCATCCTGGGCCTCTACCCACGAGCTTCCAGTAGCACATGCCTCAATTGTCACTCAATTGTCACTCCTCAGCTGACAGCCATTGCCCAGAGAAGAGTGCAGCCTTCATCTTTTCTGTGCTGTCCACACAATTTGGTTCTGTTTATCCCAGGGTTGCTCCAAGTGAGAAGGCCCTAGGACTGACCACCTCCCCATGCCATAGAGTGCAGTGTGACACTCGGGATTCACTCCTTCCACTTAGTCTCTCCTGTAGAGGACTGTGATTTTCTTTTCAGATTTGTTATGAGAGGTGAGATACTGTCATTATTTCATGAAGTAGCAGTCAGCATACAGTATGCTTTCCTTGTTTATTTGTTTATTGTATTCAAAGATAAACTTAGACACTTTTTTTAGACATTCTCACTATGTAACCCATAGTTACAGCTGGTACTGAACTTATATTCCTCCTGCCTGAGACTCCTGAGTTGAGATCACAGCCATGTACCACCATGCCTGGCATCACATTAAAATTTTAAATACTTTATTTGAGCAAACAGCAACTCTATGGGCAACAGCACTATGTTTAGAGCTTCACCAGTGAGCCATAAGGGAAAAGCTTAAGTTATTATGCTCATGTAAGCAAGACAAAGAAAGCATTTGATCAGCCAAAGTAGAAGGTAACCTTAAAGTCCCTCTTAGAGGTTAGGTAGTGTTTTCTTTCTGGTAATGTTTAAGTTTTGTTTTACCATTTACATTGAGTTGCCTCAATGTAACTGTAGGAACTCAAGGCACTGGAGCCATTTTGACCACATGGCTTCCTGTTAATTATTTTAGACCCCTAAAGCAGGGGGTGGTTTGCTGATTTTCTCCACTGTCATAGCCTTGCTGCCAGACCAGTCACACAGGGTAGGTAATACATACTTGTTGAATGCTGAAATCAGTGAAATGATAGTCCTCAAACTCGATTCCTAGCCTCTTGCCAACTGTGTTCAGCCCAGTCTTCTGGGGGTTTGAATTGACACTGTTTCCCTTTTAGGGACTGGGTCAAGGTAGTTTTCTTCCCTCCTCTTCCCACCTTAGCTAGACTACTTTTGTCCATGTAGTTTAGTGAAGTGGAAAAGCAATGTGACTGGGTCCACGGTCAGTTGCTTCAGCACATAGAAAGCTGTTCCACTTCATCTCTACTTTCTTCACTTTCACCAGCTTCACTCTGGTAAATTTGATCTAATTGCAGTGCTAATCTTTGAACTGCTTCTTAAATGACCCCTCATTAGGGCTATTTAATATAATGGGTCTTCCTCTGTCATGTAAACTTTTCTCCCCAAACTCCAGTCCTTATGAGAAGAGCACAGCTGTATGATAAAGCCTTCATTAAAAGATTCCTTAATAGAGCTGGCTGCCTTCTCTTGATTGCATAATCAACAGCTAATGAAATTGTCTTGGTAACAAGAGCTACAGTGTATTACATGCTCTCTTGAGACTAAGTGGAACGACAATTGTATCATCCTGAGAAGACGATTGATTCTTCACAGTTTGAATTTGATTGTCCTTAAGGGGAACTAAACAAGAGATCATCTCCAGCTTCTCTAAGTGGGTTTTATGCTCTTGGAAAGTTACTGTTTTACTTTCCACACAAGCCAAGCATATAAATAGCATGCTTAGTGCAGGAGAATTGAAGGCAGTATCAATTTTTCTCTGTAGCACCAGTGATGCAATTGAAAGTCACCTGGATGGCCACACATAGACCAAGGCACTCCATTGCCTGTCTTCAGATGCTCTGTTTTCATTGCAGGAGGAAACCCCCGAGGAAGGTTTGCCCTGGGCCTGGTGCAGAGTGAGTGGAAGGTATATGTGAAGAGACCTCTTGATAGAGAAGAACAAGACATTTACTTCCTCAATATCACTGCCACTGATGGGCTTTTTGTCACACAGGCCATGGTGGAAGTGACCGTCAGTGATGTAAATGACAATAGCCCAGTATGTGATCAGGTGAGATTGGGGGATTGTAGTTCTGCTTTTTACTCTGCTTCTCTAAAATTAAATCAAAATCACTTTCACTTTTCTTCTTAAGGGCAGGCTAACTTCTGTTCATATCACCCATTTGAGGTAAAAGCTCAAGTTGAATCTAAGAGGTTAAGAAGTAGAGTCTAGGATAAAATCTCCCAGACAAGAAAAGAATATAGCTAGCAAAGTCAGGTACCTAATACCTCATTTTCCCCCCTCCCCCAACAGTAAATCTTGAAATTAAGTAGTTCTAAGTAATTCGTAAAGGACCTCATAACTTCTCTGGAAGTCACCAGTATCATAAAAGAAATAGCCCAATCTACATGATGTTACCTGTTTGGATAAGTGGAAATGCCAGGGCTGAACATGGGTCTTCTAGCTTCTCATGAAGTAGCCTGTCCACTACTGTACAAAAACATGATAGCAGCACAAGTTGTGAGTGTTACATTTCATTTTCTTTCTTACTGGCAAATCACTATTCATGTACTGAATTTTTCTCAACATGTGGATGGATCTAGAGACATTATTAGTGTTGTATAGCTTAGAAAAGTGTTGTGAATAGATACTCTACCATGGGAATACCAAATGTTAGTATTGTTCTTAAAAGAGTTGAAAAGAATCCTAGGAACTCATTCAGTCTCAAAAGAAAAATGAACCATGATCAATGTGTGATGTGTGTCATGGCTTTCACAGGGTGGCAGTTTTGCCTTTTGTTTTCTTCACTGTTGTACTTACAGGAAGGCTCAATAAAGATCTTTTGAATTAAGGGGTATGTAAAAGGTAGGGCAGCAGAGTCACAATATATTGTAATATGGATCTGTGGCAAAGGAAAACCAGCAAAAGCTAAATTATATAAATGAATTTTTAAATAAATAACATACAATGCTAAATATGGCAATTGTACCACAAATACTAAGGATTTAATTCCTTTTGTTTACCTTGGCCCAGGTTGCGTATGCAGCATTATTTCCTGAAGACATTCCATCAAATAAAATCATCCTGAAGGTCAGTGCCAAGGATGCTGATATTGGATCCAATGGAGACATACAATACTCACTCCACGGATCTGGAAACAGTGAATTTTTTTTAGATCCCGAAAGTGGTAAGGTGAAATTTCTTCTTTGAATAAATGCCGTTGTATGTTCATGAGAGAAGCTAAACTCTCATGTGGATAGTACACTAGAGCTCTCACAGGGTGCTCTGGTGTCTTGAACTCCAACAAATGAGAGTAGGAGTAGGGGTCCAAATATGGGTGCTCTGGGGTACACAGACTTTATTTGGGTTAGGGTTAGGGGCTTTTAAACTACAGTATTATCAGAAAGTGAGCACACATCTGTATTTGTTTTTCTCGCCTATGAGTTAAAGAATGGGCTTATAAAAGGTTTAAGTGGAATCACACCCCAAATGCAGCTTGCCACGCAAACTGGAAAGTGATGTCTAGCAAGGAGAGGTTTTCCATTTTGAAATTAATTTTGGGCCCCTTCCTGACTCTTATTAACACCACTTTCTGGTTTTGTTAAACATTCCTGCCTGGTTTCTCCAAAACCATGAGCCCTCCGATTTGCTTGCATATTTGGGTAAAATTTACAAGGTGAAATGTTATGTAAACTAAAGGCAGATGCCTGCATGGAAGGCCAGAGCTAATGGGGAAGTCATTTTCTTTGGAAGCAATTCTTCAGTGTTGTGAATTGGATGATTCATCTAATGGCAATTCTTAAATGAAATATAAAGATTGAATAGCTTTCACATTTCCAGTGTTGGTTTGGTCCTAGTGAACAATGACTAATGAGTCTTCAAAAGGGTAGGACTCTTTCTTGCCCCACTTCCATGTCCACTGTACCTCCTAGGAAGATCCACTTAGCTGCATGGCAATATACCACTTAGCTACTTGGGTCTGCGAAACACTTATTGAGGCGCTAATAGCCATGTAAGCACTTTATGGGGTTTATGTGGTAGACTCCAGATAAACAAACAAACATGCCCAAGGGAAATCATGGTTCAGTAGGGAAGATGGACAAATATACCCATAATAATGAAAGGAGCACCCAAGAGGAATATAAAGGATCTGTATCTGAGCATAGGAAGAAGTAGTCAATACTCTGATGGAAGGAAAGAGGAAACTGCTCAAGAAAGGACTAGCATTTAAACTGAGCCAGGGTTCTAGGAGCAAAAGCAGGACACTGCAGCTTACAGGGACAGCATAGGCAGAGGAGCACAGCATACCCAGCTGATGTTGTGTACGAAAGTGGCAGGACAGCAACTTTAGGCCAGACACAGAGGGTCTTTAATGTCCCACTGAAGAGCACTGGGGGCTTTTTTGAGCAGGAGAGGGAATTGACTGGCTGTCTGCAGCAGAGACACCATAGGATAAAACGTCTTGTGGATGGAGGTGACTTGACCAAATGCCTAGCAATTTTACTTAAGAGTAATGATACTTCATGAATCATGCTTTGCACCAAATGGCACTTCTGCAGGTCCATCACTGTGCTTGTTGTCATTTTCTAGTTTTTTTATTCATATGTGCATACAATGTTTGGGTCATTTCTCCCCCCGTCCCCACCCCCTCCCTTACCACCCACTCCGCCCCCTCCCTCTTCCCCTTACCCCCTCGATACCAGACAGAAACTATTTTGCCCTTATCTCTAATTTTGTTGAAGAGAGAGTATAAGCAATAATAGGAAGGAACAAGGGTCTTTGCTAGTTGAGATAAGGATAGCTATACAGGGCATTGACTCACATTGATTTCCTGTGCATGTGTGTTACCTTCTAGGTTAATTCTTTTTGATCTAACCTTTTCTCTAGTTCCTGGTCCCCTTCTCCTTTTGGTCTCAGTTGCTTTTAAGGTATCTGCTTTAGTTTCTCTGCGTTGAGGACAACAAATGCTAGCTAATTTTTTAGGTGTCTTACCTATCCTTATATCTCCCTTGTGTGCTCTCGCTTTTATCTTGTGATCAAAGTTCAATCCCCTTGTTGTGTTTGCCCTTGATCTAATGTCCGCATATGAGGGAGAACATACGATTTTTGGTCTTTTGGGCCAGGCTAATCTCACTCAGAATGATGTTCTCCAATTCCATCCATTTACCAGCGAATGATAACATTTCATTCTTCTTCATGGCTGCATAAAATTCCATTTCTTCATCCATTCGTCAGTAGTGGGGCATCTTGGCTGTTTCCGTAACTTGGCTATTGTGAGTGGGAGAAAATATTTGCCAGCTACACATCAGACAAAGGTCTGATAACCAGAATGTATAGGGAACTTAAAAACTAAATTCTCCCAAAACTAATGAACCAATAAAGAAACAGGCAAGTGAACTAAACAGAACTTTCTCAAAAGAAGAAATTCAAATGGCCAAAAAACACATGAAAAAATGCTCACCATCTCTAGCAATAAAGGAAATGCAAATTAAAACCACACTAAGATTCCACCTCACCCCTTGTTGTCATTTTCTATTGAACCGTAAGCAATAATAACAAAAAAATGTCCATGAGGACTGATGTCCAGCACCTGCATGGCTTTCCCAGTGGTAACATGCAGATGTGACATTCTTCCATGCAGAAGATGAGTAGCTGCTGAAGTTTTTCCCTTCTCCTTCCTCCCCCAGAAGCCACAGGCCCTTCCATAGTCTAGCAAATGGAAGGTTATCTTGCCGTAGTGGGTCCTTCAAGACTGTGTTCTGCTAAAGCCAGCATGTTTTCATTGCCTCGTTTTCCTCTAAAAGATGGGATAAAAAGAACTGGAAGCAGAGAGATTGACTTCTGGATCTGTGGGTTGTTGACACTATTAGCCACCAGATAGCTACAATGGGCATCAGTCTATCCTCTATGCTTTTGCCAGGGGTCTCCTCCAGGTAGCCAATAGAAAGAACCTCTGATCGCCAGTTTTTGCAGCGGGGTTCATTAATTTGAAGGCCATGCTATTCATTTGTTGTTTCATCCAGAATTCCATAGTTTTTTTCATGAATGCCTCAAAAATTTGAACTTGCTCTATTTTTCAAGCCACATGGCTCTTGGGCCAAATGCCCTTTTTCCCTCTTGTATTTAGAATTCTTCATGTAATTTATTTTCTGCTTTTCAGAGGACAACTTTTGAAAATCCAGACCAGTCATGTTCATGTTGCCATTTCTTTTCACAGGTGAGTTAAAAACCTTGGCTTTGTTGGACCGGGAGAGGGTCCCAGTGTACAACCTGATTGCCAGGGCCACTGATGGGGGTGGCCGGTTCTGCCAGTCTGATGTGCACCTGATCCTGGAAGATGTGAATGATAGCCCTCCTGTGTTTTCTTCTGACCACTACAATGCTTGTGTCTATGAGAACACGGCCACTAAGGCACTGTTGACCAGAGTGCAAGCAGTGGACCCTGATGTTGGTAAGTCCTGGCCAGACTTCTGCCTGTCCATGCGTCAGACACCTTGTCTCCAGGGACTGTGTCCTTTAGTTTTATGGAAACCTTCCTTATCACAAGAACACATGCATTAAATCCTATCTCAGCTCTTCAGCTGAGAACTTTTTATACAGAAGAGAACTCTGTGAGTTGTCTTCTTGTCCTGTTCTTCCTAGGAGAGAAAGACAAGATATCAGGAATTTCTTTACCATTTGACAGTTTGGGATAGATTTGTTTGAGTTTTTTCCTAACCTTTTCAATAAAAATAATAAGACTTGCCTATTACTCCAAAACACAGTTAAAATGCTGTGTTGTGTGGCAAGGAGTATTCATTTCCATTTCCATGAAGAATGCATCACGTGTTTCAGCTTGAAATATGACAATCTCAATTTATTGTAGTGCCCCGTAGTGCAAAGACTAATGACCAAGGTGGATTTTTTTAAACCGCCATTTCCTAGAGCATCTTTGTCACATGTAAACTGACATTACTGCAGCATGGGGATGGGGGAGATAAGAATGAATCAGAATTGAAAGTTGCTAATAAAGTTTGTGTTCAAATCTACTTTACATGATGAGATGATGAGTTAGAGAAGACTGGAGTTAATTGCTAGGTAGACCTCTGAGAATGCATAAGTTATTGAGGTGACTACGTGATGGATAAAAACACTAAAGGGCATACAGACAGACCTCTTGGCTGTACATTTTAAGAGCTGTAAATCACAGGACTAGGGAATGATGGGGTGTGTCTGCTATGCTAAATAGACCTTTATATAATTCAGTGTCACATTGCTTAATTTTGAATTGAAAGAAAAACTATTGGACTAATGGAAAAGTAAATACATGATAATTAGTTGAAAACAAATGTAGAGTCCAGGGTTTATGCATAGTTCCTCTTAGAGAAATTAGTGGCTACGTTTGAATTATTGCTCCTACCACATTAGCATAATTTTTGAAGCTGAAAACCAACCCTTAAAAGTATGCATATTATTGTGAAAAATGGCAAATAAGAAAAGACTCCCTATTGGTATATAATTGTGTAATAGCTGCAAATACTCTTTTTTCAAAGGAAAATTAGAAAACATTCTCTAGACTCTTATTAGCAAACTTTTGGGGAAAACAGGACAGAGTAATGCAAATGGATCTTTCAATCATTTTAAATTTGATTTTGAGACTGTGTAATTAATCCATAGCTGAAAGATTGGAATTTTTCCACTCATTCCCTTCTTGAAGGAATTGTTTGTGTCCAAGCTGTTGGAGATTGGACACAAATGATGTCTGAAACATCATTTTTGCAAATGATGTTTCAGACAATGGTGGAATGGGGTGGGGATGGTGTGTAACTGACTCAGAGATATGGTGCTTGAAGCTGTTTTGGAAGTTGTGAAGAATATAGTTAGCTATGCCCTCCTTCCACTTCTTTTCAGTCACCTGGGCAGGTTAGGAGTTGGGGTGGAAGGAATGTCTAGACTGTGATCATTCAGCAGGGCACAGATGATAAAGATTTTAAAGAACGCAAACCAAATGGGGACTTTATTACCCCTCTACTTCCTCATTTGCCATAATGAGTAAAAGGCTCCTGTGCAGAGCCCCACGGAGACAGAGATCATGAGTACTGTCAGCACCTTTGTATGAAGTGTATTCGCCAAGCCACTCAAATCAGCTGCAGGAAAAATTGAGTGTCAGACAACGGATTCTGGTTCATTTTCTGTTTTTATAGATCTCGTTTAGCTTTCAAGAACTAAAAGAACTAAGGTAGCTGGAGAAGAACAAATGAAGAGCTCAAGAAACAAACTGAGCATATACTGTGCCTCAGGCCCTAGGCTGAGGAAGCAGCTGTGAGGATTTTGGTCAGGGTCGCAGTTTCAGCCGCTGTAGAAGGAACAACCTTATTCTAAGTGTTACCAACAGGGCTCATGACATTGGCCTTAGCAACCTAAGCAGAAAACTTGCTTCTCATGAGTAGCCATTTCTCTGCCTTTCCTAAAGGATCACAGACTAGTGAAAACTGTGCGATAAGATTATCAGGTTGTTGCGTGCAGGGTGCATCAGGGGACCTAACTGAGCCTCTGTCACGAGCTGACTTCACACGAGAGCAGCAACTCTCTAGCACCTATCTTTCACTTACATAGTGCTGAAAAAGGTTTGAATTCATTGTCATTATTTTAAAGTCAGTTTTATTAGAAACTCAGATCTCAGGCATTTTATAAAAACATTAGCACTCAGAAGTCTGCCATTCCAGGTACACAGGTTGCACAATGGCATTCTTACAGCAGCTGCCTCCTTGATCATCAGCCACAGGTCTCCCCTCCCTACTGACCAGCCACTCCATTTACTGATGTTACTACCTGACCTCATCAGCAAACACGTTCTGTAAAGTGATGAAGAAATTTCTGACATTTAAAAAAAATTTTTTTTTTAAATTTGAAATAATTATAAATTCACAGGAAGTTACAAAAACTATGCAGGACGTTGAGTGCTCCCTTTGCCCTCCCCCATGGTAACATCTTGCCTAACTGTAGTACACGACAGGAAATTGACATAGGTGAACCTGAAAGAGTTTAGTGAGATTTCAGCGTGTGTACATGTCTTTCTATGCAATTTTATGACCTTTATCTCTTCATATTACCATTACCACGTTCAACCATTACAGGGCTCCCCCACATTGCTCTTATAGCCACACCCACCTCCTTACACCTTCGAAATCTCTATCCCCTGGCAATCACTAATCTCCATAACTATAACTAAAGTTATGTAGTTTGCAACCTTTTGAGATTGGCCTTTTTTTTTTCCCTCTCCTGACATAATTTTCTTCAGATTCATCCAAGTTGCCTAATTGACTTTTGAGCCTAGTGAAGAATATTGACCCCATTTATATAAATGACAGGGATTTCTAGCTCATGAAGTTTCTTTTCTTGAGCACATTTCTTTACCTCAAGTTGTAAATTATTTCATCAGTGCCATGATCTGAATGTTTGTGTCCCTCCAAAATTCATATGTTGAAATTGAGCCCCGAAATTATTGAGAAATACAACCTTTAGGGGGTGATTTGGTCAGGAAAGTATAGCCCCCATGAGTAGGATTGGTGGCCTTATAAAAGAGGCTTGAGAGAACCTGTTTGCCCCAACCCCCATGTGAAGACACACAGCAGGTGCCATCTATGAGGAACAGGCGCTTATCTGACATCAAACCTGCAGGTGCTTCATCTTGGACTTCCCAGCCTCCAGAACTGAAAGCAATAAATTATCAGTGCTTATAAATTACCTGAGTGAAGTATTTTGTTATAGAAGTCCAAATGAACTAAGACAACCAGCATTTAACTACATTCTACAACATGTAACTATAATTTGCAAGAAAAGACAAAGAGGTATTAATCTGAAATCTGACTCCATAAATTCATGAGTTCAAAGCCCTTACTATGAGTTAATAAACCTTCATACCCTGGTTTTCTAATTTTAAAACATTATTGCTTTTTGTCAAATAACTCTTTCCCCATGAACCATTCAAAATGAACCAATATTAATGCTGGAGTAAGTGCCTAGGTCAAGAATAAAATAAAACAGAGGCAGACAAGATAATTTTAACACCTATTTTATGAGTTCTAAGAAATAGCCTGGCAACTTTCTAGATTTTAGCATTAACTTCTCAGTTTTCCCGTAAAATGAAAATATCCTGAATCCCATAAACTCCTTTCAATAAAGACAAGGAGACCTTTCATTACATTACCTCTTTGGGGTTAATATTCTATGGTTTAGTCTATCTCTTGGAAGTAGAATTTGTTCCCAGGCTCTGAATTTTGAGAGTTTTTTAAACTAGCAAAAGAAATATGCAGTGATGTGGATCAGAGCAAAAAAATGTGTGACCATTTTAGGCAAAGGGACAGGAAAAGAAAGTGAAAATTTGTACTGGAAAAAATATGTTATGGTACATGATTTATTAAGAGGCAATTTCCAGATATTTGAGATGTGAAAGGACACATTTTTCCTCTTATGGATGAGGGACATAAAGCAAGGAAATGTTCTAGTGAGCAAGTCACTCCTTCCTTGTAAAATATTTCCTGCAAGTTTCAGAATTTCTTTCGGGGATTTCAGAGAAACTTAGAGGCTCAGAACACACATTACAGTTATTTTCCATTCAATTTAACAATTATTTAACGAGCAGCTAGGTAACAGGCATTATAGAAGGAACAGCAGGACTCTCAAGGATGAGGAATGTACAGTGCAAGTTGTAACCATACACGGAGGTAAGGAGCAAAGTAGGAACACACATGCCCTTAGTAAAAGGCAGACTTCCCAGAATGCACAGAACCTCAACAGTTCAACATAGGAAAACATTTAGGAAGACATGAACCGTAACGCTAAAGTCATAAAGTTTGGACAGTGTGATCTCAACTAAGTAGTCGGGAGAACATTGTGTGGTCCAGGACAGAGGAGAGGGAGATGACAGAGGAAAAGTGGACCAGGACCTGGTTGTCATTGTTCAGAGAGGCTAGGAATCATGTATCAAACCAATCAGTAATGGATGAACACTTTCAAGAAAAGAAATAACCCAAGTCTGGGTTTGGAGAACGCTAACATGGATTGTCATAAGGCAAATCAGGGTATAAAGAAAGTTCCTAGAAGGGCAGTAAGAAACACCACGAGGCGAAAGCATTTGGGGTTTAAAAGAAAAGCATCTGAGATCCAGATTCATATTTCAAGTGTGGAATCTGCAGAATATGGCAACAAATCAGATTGATGGCATGGTAGACTGGATAGTTACAATCTCACCCTGGGTACCAGTGAAGGTACTGCATGAAAAGAAATAGCATAGGTGATCCAAAGTAGGACCTGGTGTGGACAGAAAGGTGAAAAACTGGGGACACATTAAGAATTTAAGTTGCAGCTCCAGAAAGAAGTCAGGAATTAAAAAGTTTGCTAACTCTGAAAAAAGTGGAGAGGTCTTTCCTTCACAGTCATAATGAGAAACAAATGAACACTCTGAGAAAT